TCTCTCCCCCCCTCTCTCTCTCTCTCTCTCTCTCTCTCTCTCTCTCTCTCTCTCTCTCTCTTCTTTTTGTGTTGAGTCATGTATGGAAGAGGCATTTTTGCAAGAAAGGTGGCCAAGCACTCGTTTATTGGGCTGACAATATCCGGTAACTGGAACATGTCACGTTGTATCTTTATTTGACCGTTTCGAACCATGACGTCAACACACACATATTTATATTGTTATTCCGTTATAAAAGGAATTTATATAATCTATTAACTTTGAAGGTGAATGTTCACAAGAGAAAGGAATAGGGATTCTATGTAAGGGATTTTTCTGTTTTGTTTGTTTTCTGTTTTGTTCTCTTTTGTTTTGTTTTGTTCGTTTTCTTTTTTGTTTTTGTTTTGTCTTTTTTGCATTTAGACCCATTTGAATAAACTGTAATTTGCAATCTATGCAACTGATTTCTGATGTGTCAAAGTAGAAGATATGATTGAATAGTAGAAGATATGACTGAATATTCATAAAGAAAAATTGTCTAACAATATTGTTGGACAAATAGTTTGTTTGGAAATTATAGTCCTTTAAAAGTCCACAAAATTAGAATCGTGTACTTCGGCACTTATAAGACCAATTTGTGTTGCAAATGCTGTGAAAGTCTAATTAAAACTTCTTTTTTTTTTACGAGAAAAAAAAATAATATGCGCATCTGTTGTAAATAGAAAACGTCTCCCCCTCTGTGGGGTGAAGAAGCACACACAGATGGCACCGGAATGGTCTGCCCAAATATCATTTCGTCTGTAGTTGACTTCATTTATCTTGGGGTGTCCGTCAATGCCAGGTCTATGATTTGGAAGTGAGTAATACAAGTTAAACCTGTTCTTACGACCATCTTTACAAACTGTCACTTTCCCTTTCATCCCTTGCGATTTTTTTTCTCTCAGTATAAGGACACTGTGCAAGATTCCACCTGTCCAAGACCGCCACTTTTCGTCTCGACAGCGGGTGGCCAGCTCAGACCATTTTGAATGTATTTTTCGTTTTAAAAAGCTCTTACCGATATTTTTTCTTGGGTTCTGAGGCTGACTTACTTAATACACATTACCAGATAAATATTTTATAAAAATGTTCTTCCAAAGACATCTAATTTAACAAAGTATTTACAGTCATGTAAGAAAAGTTTCATGCGTCTCCCCAGATACCCAGGCATGTAACTCTCAGAGTTGTTGGTCCATTTTTGACGCTACTTTTTTTCACCGCTTACTTCAAAGACACATGAAAATGAACAGTTGGCAATCCTTGACCTTTTGACAAAATATTACGCCTTACTAGATCTAGTCAGAAAATGTTGTTTACTCGCTGGTAAAGACTAGAAACCGGGGATTTAAAAAGCTAAAGGGAGGATAAGAAACGTGTGCAATATTTGCATAGATGCATCCAGACCTCGAAAGTTTTGTTTGTCAAATTTGTAAACAACTGTGCTGAGACTGTGTCACCGGACTAAACCTTCTAAGCCTCTCAAGAACCGCGTAACTAATTTGAACTATTGAACTATTTTTTTTCTTTATTTTTTTAGGGGG